TGGCCTAAGTTGTTCCATTTTAATTGAAACACAGGTTTACTTTTGGTACCATGTAGTATTCTGAGGATAATGAGGATAATTTCTACTCTTATTTCAAAATATTGGTTAAATTGAAACTTCTTTCTTCTTTGTTTTCAGAGCAAAGCATAGTTTGAAGAATAGATTCGGAGAAAGCAAATAGACTTGGATAAAGCATACCAAGCAGATCGCAAATTAGTTGGATAAACTATATTTTTTATGTCTAGTGACGAGTGTCGAAGCAACTTAAGCTTGTAAGGAACATGTTTTGGTCTTTTTATCTTACTCTGCCTAACTTTGACGTTAAACAAGATAGGAAAACATACTCATACAATATACACTAAAAGTTTCAGAAAATTTTGGGCTGCATCGTCTTGAAAATAATAATAAGAACCCAAATTCTACAGATTCTGTTGGCTATTAGCATTCTGGCTATTTAAACAGGGCTAATTTAAGGGAGTTTTAGTTGCTGAAGAACATGACCACTGCGTATAGCTTTAAATAATTGATTGGCATAATACTGATTAATAGAAGGTCTTTCGCTGCATCATTTCTCAAGTTAATAAGATGTTCAATAATTTAAACTTTGGTAAAAAAAAAGGTTAAGTTCAAGATTAATTACATTGTCAAAAAAGCTTCCGATAGGTCCACACCATTTTTTACTGTTTTTAGATTCTCCATCAAACAATTTAATCAGGCATTTTAATGGTAACTCATTGGTGTGCAGAGTACAGAAAATCTTTTTTAAACTTTTGCGCTAACGTTAGCCTTATTTAGTGCAATATTCCAACTTAACAACCAGTGTTGACATTGGTAGAGCATTCCCCGATTGCTGCTAAGTGTGTGCTAACGTTTCTCATTTCAGTATATTTAAAGATTTTATCTGCTATAATTTCAGCGTCTCTATTTTTTGCTTGTTTAAATAATGTGAAATGAAATAAAAACATTGCATCACCAGAACAAATAGTGTAATGCTTTTCTTTAATTTGAAATTCTTCGGGACTATGCTTGTAACCTTTTGTTTCGTAAACAAAAAGAAAACGACATCAAGACTGTACTTAAACGCTTAATCTTTATACGTTGACGCAAATAGCTACGTTTATAATAATTTAAAAATATAGTGTTTTGAAGGATCGAATATTCAAGAAAAACATTAAAAATGGCGCAACGAAACGGCAAACAACAATTTTCATATAAACTTTATATTAAATGAATGGAGTACTACAAAAATGAATGGAGTTATGATATACTAGGTTGGTTGAAAAGTTCGCGGAGCGGCACCTATGTTGCAGTAGTAGAAACAAATTTATAACTGTATTAAACGTATTCATTCTTCGTATGAACGCATAAAAAATTTCAAGTCGATATGTCATTTCAGTCTTTGTTTACAAGCTATTGAAATTAGACGTGTCATAGTATTTTTTTAAATGGAAAATATTGAACATCGTGCTGTAATCAAATTCTTTGTGAAAAAAGGTTTAAAGCCCATGGAAATTCATAATGAAATGGTAAATGTGTTGGGTGATGATGCTCCTTCAAAAACAACAGTATGCAAATTGGCTGCGGAGTTTCAACGTGGGCGTTCAAGCCTTGAAGATGACCCTCGCTCTGGACGTCCAAAAAGTGCTACTACTGAAGAAACGATTAATGCTGTGCATGACATGGTTATGGATGATAGACGATTGACCAAACGTGAAATTGCTCAGGCTGTGGGCATCTCAGATGAACGGGTATTACACATCTTGCACGATGAATTACGTCTGAGAAAGCTGTTGGCAAGATGGGTGCCGCATTCGCTAACTCTGGATCAGAAACGCACTCGAGTAAAACTTTCTCAAGAACATTTGGCCCGTTTTCAAAAGAATAAAACAGATTTTGTGCGTCGATTCGTAACCATGGATGAGACTTGGGTTTACCACTATGATCCGAAGCTGCGACAACAAACTGCAGAGTGGACAGAACCCGGTTGTTCAGCTCCGAAGCAAGTGAAGGCGTCAAAATCGTCAAAGAAGGTTATGGCATCAGTTTTTTGGGATGCGAAAGGAATTTTATTAATAGATTACCTTCAAACGGTAAAACGATAACAGGTGAATATTATAAAAATCTTTTGGACCAGTTGGATAAAAAAATTCGTGAGAAAAGACCTGGTTTGCTGCATAAAAAAATCATTTATCACCAGGACAACGCACCTGCTCATATCAGCGATGTTGCAAAGGCGAAATTGGTCGAATTAAAGTACGAACGCTTGGAACATCCACCCTATTCACCAGATCTGGCTCCGTCCGACTTCCACCTCTTTCCACATCTCAAAAAATTTCTACGTGGAAAGCGTTTCTCATCACATGAAGAAGTCATTGCAGCCGTAAATGGGTATTTTGAAGGCCTTCCGGAATCGCACTTCAGAGATGGGATACATGAATTGGAGAATCGTTGGAAAAAGTGTATTGCTCTTAAGGGAGAATATACTGAAGAATAAAGTCAT